TAGCTTCTTGTTACTACTAGTAAGGCACTTGTTACTACTAGCGTGGCACTTGTTACTAGTAGCGTGGTCCGGGACTTGACGGACTTGGTCCGAGACTTCGGTGCGGTCTGGGCCTCGCTTCTGCGGTCGGTCGAGGCTTGAGCGCTTCGAGTGAATGGCTCTTTCCAGTTTCGACACTCATGAAATCTCATGAGTCTCAAGTATGTCATCTAATAGCAAAAGGAACCTAATAGCATCTAATAGCAATGGTCTCCAACCTAATAGCAATAGCCTCCAACCTAATAGCAATAGCCTCCAACCTAATAGCAATGGCCTCCAACCTACTAGCGATGGCCTCTAACCTACAAGTAATGGTCTCCAAGTAGGTAATCTAATTAATGCATTATGAGCTTGAGTGAAGGCTTGGTAGTGCAACTATTTGGACAGCGATGCTCTACCAAAGGTTGTCCACGACACTAGAGAAAGCGATCGCTGAATCACCGGTCCATCAACGCCCCATGGGGAGCACCCAACTCTCTGCAGACATGTCTCCTGCGTTACTTCAAGATCCACTTCACGCAATCAGCACGGCAAGGTCAGGGACGAATTTGCTTGAACTAAAACCTCCTAATTATAGTGATAACAATATAACAACAATAATGATAATTGTAATAATGTGTGTATACATATATATACCCGACAATATGACAATATGCAGGTGCGTCTGGCTGATCGGGATGAGATCTGTCATTCATAGCTGTGCTTTCGTTGCACACGGTAGGTGATGCATAGCGTGTGGCTGATGCCCGTGTGTCTGCAGTAGTTAAGTGGATCATAGTGGATCTTGGTCAACTGCAGAGGTGTTTAGCCCTGGATGCACTGAAGTGCTCTTCAAGACAGAGGTTTACACACACACACCTAGGAAGACTCCCAATCAACCTAATAGCAATGGCCTCCAAGCAATGCAAAAGCCAGCGGAATTGCAAAATTCACTTAAATACTTAAACCAAAGGATCTGCCCTGCATGTGTCTGCCAGAACCTACAGTAGATGTGAGAAAAGTTGAGACAAGGAGAATGGACATACCTTTGCCTCTACGAACTTGCGCAATCCAAAGTCGGTTGATTCCTCACTGGGAGCACTTCACCAGGAATATCTTTCCTGTGCCCACCATACCAAGCATAAGGACAGCATCAACAGCCAAGGAATGAAACTCACCCAACCAGTCATTGCTACTGCTTTTTTGCCGCTTGGTGTTTAGGTCCGCACCCCGTCGAGGTCCGCTGGAACCGTCCAACATCGACACGAAACGCCCACGCACTCACCCACGCCGGCATGGGCAAACCAAGCGAAGCCAGGCGCACCAACAGGCGAGAGTCGCGTGGATGCCACGCATCATTGGCCTCGACTGCGTCGGCTTCGCCAGGAACTCCGATAAATTTTGGAAAGCTCCCGGGTGAAGTTTGGTCGAGTTCCCAAGCAGTTGGGGTGACCGATGGGGATGGGGTAAGGATCGTCGCACGATCGTCACGCGAGCAACTGAAACATGGATGGCGTGCCATCTGAAGATCAGGGGCAGTGTTTGAGGAACCATTCCGGTTCCCCCCTTGTGCAAGAGATCCACGGTCTTTCATGGTTTTCCTCTCTGTGTCTGGTTTCTTTTCTGCAAGTTTGGGTATGTTATGTCTGTTATCATAGAAAAGAATGAATCTCTAAATCTGCAGCATTCCCCCACGCTGGGCTGCAAGTTTTTCCCCAGTTTTCACGGCGTCACAGGGCAAGTTCACTTCAAGAGGTTGAACAAATAACACACCATCTTCGCAGAAATTAATCCCATCTTCGCATTGGACGAACGGTCAGAGTTTTCCACGATCACGGTTCCGTAACACGAGTGGAGTCACCACTCACCCAGTTCAATCTTCATAGTTCCCATATGAACTCCGTTTCTATCACAAGTGAGAACAGATATGTCAGATATGTGTTTATTCCGCTTCCTTCTCTCTCAATGTCATTTTTCAAACCAACGTCGTTTCCAACGAACACCCAGAAGGGCTCTGAACCGCTGGGCCCCAACCGCCAAGGCTTGCTTCAACATCTGGCGATGCACCGCGATGCGCGGCGCGATTGCAAACACGAGATGTTTTCTATTAACAAGCAAACTACATAATAGTTATTATATATAAGTCTTGATTCCACATATGGCAGCTTCAGGTTTCGTTGGCCCGACAGGGACCTCGGCGGGAGCGATAGGAAAAGCCCGAGCGTTCCCTTCAGGCGTAGGGGTTGGTAGCGGAGCCTGCGAAAGAGCCGGCTCCACGCCATGGTTCGTTGATTTTGTTTGACATTCCGGTGAAGGTCCGCGCACATGGCAGCGACAACGTCATCCACCTCGGAAGGTGGGCTTCGTTTCTTCTCAGGAGACACAGAGGATGGTCGAGAATACAAGCCTTGGAAACAGTGGGTGAAAAACAAGATTCTCAGCCTGGACAAGTTGACGGAAGCTTCCAGAGGCCCGTACATCTACACTCCTCATCTCTGGAAAAGCGCTGGAGGCTGTGGAACATCTTGATCCTGACCCCTACCAAAAGAAAGGTGGAGAGTGTGGCAACTGTTGGAGGAGAAACGTTTTCCGCAGCAGGAAACAGTCAACGAGTTGGGAGAGATTCTGACAGAGGTCTTTAGCCTCGAGTCGAACGAAGGTGAAAGCATGAAGCGGCCCGCTCGAGCGTCAGAGTTGTTCGACCGATGCGTGAGAAAGACTGGCACATCTTTCCCTGATGAGGCCAGAGGTTGGATTGCGCTGCATCGGGCCGGCCTGTCCGAGGAGCAGAAGGCCGTGGTCATTGCTCGAGCCAGAGGAAACTTGAAAAGAGAATCCATAGCTGCTGCGTTACGCTCCTGTTACCCTGACCTGATCTTTTCGAAAGCCCACAGGCATTGCCATCGCTGACAAGAGATCGACGGCGAGGATATGACCGAACGCTGGGAAACCAACAGCGCTGGCCAAACATTGGCAACTTCATGGGTGAATGCACAGATGTTTTTTCCGCGGCTGCTTTGACCGCAGTGATGGCTTCGGTCGAAGACCCACCGAAGATCGAAACCGAAGAGCCCGACCATGATGCTGAGTCGCAGCTTGAGCCGGATGTGGCTGCAGACTCATCCCCTAGTGGCGCCACGCCGTCAGAACCCGAGACAGCAATCTGGCATCAGGAGGACTGTGACCTTGTCTCGACTCCGTGGAAGGGCCCCGCTGGAATCGCGTTTTTCGGAGGATGTCCAAGGACCCCATAACACAAGACCATTGTGAAGCTTCTATGTCGCGCACCGCATGTGACCACTGAATTTCATTATTGAGGTCCAGCCAAAGAAACCGAAGAGCAGTCGACTTGGCAGCCATCTCATCACCAGAGTCGCCAGCTGCACAAACAAGCACAGACTTGCCTAGCTGTTCAAGAACGGGGGAATCAAAGGTGTTTAGTCAGTTATGGAAATGTTTTCACCGCCTCGTTTCGCACCCGTTGCCGAAGCCGCCGGTTTCCGTGCCAAGTCATATGATCTTCCCAACGTTTTCGATTTCCGATATCGTGCTGACAGGAATCGCCTGGAGCAGGAGCTGACCACTGAGAAGCCAGATCTCCTGATCTTGTGCCATCCATGCACCGATGAGGGGGGTTGGATGCACCTGAACAGCACCCATTGGGATAGATAGGGGCATCTAAGAGGAAGGCTCAAAGAAGACGCTACATCGCATGGTGGTGTAAACTGTTCAAGATCCAAGTGTCTCAAGGGGGAAGGGCCGTGTTTGAACATCCAACCGGGTCTCAGCTGTGGTCTTATCCAGAGGTCCAGTCGTTGCGCCGCCGATTCACCACAGTCAATCTGCATATTATGCGCAGGTCCAGGTACGGTTTGAAGTTGCCTGAAAGTGATCGTTTCATTGCAAGAGCAGGAGACTCACGAAGACATGTCCTGTTTAGGCAAGCTGTGTACCGGTGAAGGGTCCCACATGCCATTTGTTGAGTGAGCCATTGGCCGCTGTTCCAGCTACAGACTTTTTAGAGGCATCCATCAGTAGGACTCAAGCCATGAGAACCTCAGGCCGTATGGCCCTTGCGCAGATGCAAGATGATAGAGTATTGCGAGCAGCCCTGTTAGCTCGTCCTCGTCGAGCCTATGCCCTTCAACCGAATGACATGGTAGCATACTGGCGCAATCAAAAGTGGGTACATGCAGGGTCAATGAATTACAACAAGGGGAGCAATGGTATGGGGTCGCAATCGTTCTTGGCAGTGTTGGTCAGAACCTTGTCCTGGCTCACCGTCGCCAAGTGATTCGTTGTGCACCAGCCCGCCACAAATCATGAAAAATGGCTCATTTCCACGCCTGCTGAATTGCTATGAATGAAAGACCTCATAGAAAAGGAAACCTCTCGATCTGCTGCCCCAATCCTATCCTCCTCAGGAAAAAAGAAATGCAATCATCAACAGCAGCTCCTGAACGTGAGCCAGAAGCAGCCGAGAACACCCGCGCTCGTCCGGAGTCATCCGATGAAGCAATGCCTCCATTGCAGCCGAATGCCCAGATCCTGAGACAGCAACAGGCCACCTGTAGACGGAAATGATACGAGCGAACCAGCATCCTCGAGACCCTGAGTAGAGGAAGCTTTCAGTGTGCAAGTTGCGTCCGACCTCACCACTGTTTGGAAAAAGGTTCATGGGCCTGTTTGATGGCTGAATACCTCAAAAAGAAATTGTCAAAAGAATTGCCACATAGCAATAATCCACCAGATCTGCAGAAGAAAGTTCAAGAAGGTCAGCGACTTGAATGGGAAACCATCGTCTGCAAGCCTCGTTCTGTTCGGTTACATTTTGGGAAGAAGTTGCAGATTCGTGAGACCCATGCCGGTCGTTTTCTCGGGAGTCGTTTTGCTGACACTGGAAGAAGGTCAGGAGGTTAATCCCAATGACTATGATACTTTCAATGTGAAGGGTAGGTGGTGCTTGCAGGGGCATCTCAATCCCGACCTTGAGGCCAAAGCTGAACAAGGATTGCTCAAGTCGCCGACCTTGAGCCAACTGCGGCGCATGTGCTTGATGCAAGTCATTGCCTCACAGGATGGGAGCTCCAACAAGGTGACATAAAAGGTGCAATCCTCGAAGCCGGGCCGTTGGATTCAGCCTCCCGTCCTTTATTCGCGCGCCAACCAGCAGGTGGAATTCCAGGAGTACCGGAAGATGCGGTCATCGAAATGGTCGATAACCTCTACGGTCAAAACGACGCTCCTGCCGCCTGGTTCCGTGAGTTTAGCGGCTTTGTGATCTCTCTTAGTTGGCACCAGAGCGTTCTTGACCCATGCCTCTTCACCTTCAGGGATCCCCAAAACCAGAGCTTTGTGGAGCGATGGGGGTGCATGTCGACGACACTGCAGTTGGTGGTTGCGGGAAATGTTTTCAGGAATCAATGCAGAAGTTACGCAATCGGTTCCCTTACCGGAAGTGGCGTCTTCGAAGTGGTGAATTTTGCGAGGCCTGGTATGATCAAAAGGGGGCAAATCAATAGTCATGTCCATGAGCACTTTCGCTGATCGGATTCGGCCGGTGAATGTTCCAAAGGACAGTGCGCCACAAGATCCACTGTCTCCTTGCCAGATCAAAGTGTTGAGGGCTATGAAGGGAAGTCTAAACTGGCTATCATCGCAATCCAGGCCTGAACTCAGTATCAAACAAGCTTATCACAGCAACTATTTCCGCAGCCGTCAATCGAAGACGTCCGAACGGCGAACCAGGCCATAAGATGCGCTATTAGGCTTTTAAGCCAATCAAGTTGCAAGAGTTGTCACTTGTGCGCCATAGTGATGCAGCCTTTGCCAACCGAGGAAACCATACACAAGCAGGCTACATTCTTGGGCTCACGCATAAAGACTTGCACGCAGGCTTGGAGGCACGTTGGACTTGCCTTGCCTGCCGAAGCTACCGTCTCTAGACGCTGGCTGCTGAAAGCCAGTGGGTTCTGTTGCTTTTGGCTGAGATCTGTGACGGACCACTGCAGATTCGAGTGTGCAGAGATGTCCTAAAAAGGAGGCCTCCGATTACTGTGGCCGATTGCAAAGTCTGTACGATCACTTGCATTCGCCATCTTCACCAACCTCGATTGAGGATCAACAAGCAAGCATTGATGCTGTCATAATTAGGGAAAGCTGCAAGAGCATGGCTGCTCTCATTCGCTGGGTTCCGACCAACCATTAACTATATAAAGACTCAGGTGACCCTATCGACCTTCTTCGTGCTTGCATCCGAAGAACTTATCAAATATCACCAGAAGAAGCCATACTGGAAATGCAAGCTGCCGAGAAACAACGTCGTCGAAAAATCCAACAGCAGCGCCAACAAGAACAGGCAAGTCTGAAAGAGGTGGAAACAATTGAAGGGGAACTCAAGTGCAGTTAGGGGATAGGGAGCTTTTGACTCAATCTGGGCTGCTATATTTTTACACAGTGTAGATCAATAGCGTGTGTGTCACTTGAATCAGTGAAGCCGTTTGATGTTCGCCGCAGCCTTTTTGCCGAGACCATCACTGGTCTCCCAAGTTGCGGTGCAGGTGCCAGGATCTTCATGTGTACTTTCCTCCCAGCCTCACCATGGCTGGTCACAGTCCGCGTTTGGCATCGGCCACCACTGCAACGAGTGAATATGAGGGCTCAATTGCATCCCTCTAGAGCGTGATTTTTGTGAGTTTGAAGTTGTGAGTGAGCAGAGCGGCCAGGGGTCTATGACCGATGCGTCCAAGCGATGCATGACCGAAGAGGATGCCCCAGCTCGGCAGATGCCGGTGATTCGTGCTACAAAAGGCCGTGCCCCAACTTCTCTCCACAAGGAATGGGGTCGCACCTTAGTGACTGCAGGAAGTTTTGACAAGCAGGATCTTTGCTACAGTGAGCTGGAATCATCAGGCGAGACCTCCAAGGTCAAATACGTGCAATGGATGATCAATCAAGGTGGTCGCAGCGATCTGTCTCCAGAGGTCCAAGACATGACGAGCTATTTTGTCGCCTATGCCCGTGAGAAAGAAGCCGATGGCCCATGCGTCCCTGGATCAAGTGTGACTCGCAAGTACAAAGCATGAATGACCGAAATGACAGCTGCTGATGAGATGGCTACAATTTGAAGATCTGTGAAAGCAAGCATATGCAACAATGCTATGAGCCCACCGGAAAGGCCGTTCGATCCCGCATGCTTTCGAATTTTAGGAAGATCTTTACCAGTCTTGATTCCACACATGGCAGCTTCAGGTTTCGTTGACCCGACACAGGGATTTTCGGCGCGAGCGATGGGAAAAGCCCGAGCGTTCCGTTCAGGCGAAGGGGTTCATTCCGCTAATGTAATTTGGTGTTCATACCATTTCATACCCAGACAATTGGATCCAAATCCAAGTGGTGGTTTACATCAGGTGCTGCTACAAAAGTTCTGAGAGAGCGTCTCACAGTGTATTCCATTCCAGGTCCAGCTGAGGTATGCTGAGGTGTGTGGTGTGTTTATCGACATTTTAGATGAAAGCAGGGGGTGCTTCGAGGTGGAACCGTGATGCTCGTCCCAATGATTAGTGGAGATCATGGTTTGCAAGCAGCTTCCTGTTACTAGTAGTAATGGTCTCCATCCTAGTAGCGATGGCCTCCAACCTATATGTTGCTAGTAGTAATGGCCTCCAACCTAGTCGCTTCCTGTTACTAGTAGTAATGGTCTCCACCCTAGTCGCGATGGCCTCCAACCTAGTAGCTTCTTGTTGCCAGAATGGCCTCCAACCTAGTAGCTTCTTGTTGCTAGTAGCAATGGCCTCCACCCTAGACCTGGTAGCTTCCTGTTGCTAGTAGTAATGGCCTCCACCCTAGTAGTGATGGCCTCCAACCTAGTAGCTTCTTGTCGCTAGTAGTAATGGCCTCCACCCTAGTAGCGATGGCCTTCAACCTAGTAGCTTCTTGTTACTAGTAGTAATGGCCTCCACCCTAGTAGCGATGGCCTCCAACCTAGTAGCTCCTTGCTGCCAGTAGTAATGGCCTAGTAGCGATGGCCTCCACCCTAGTAGCTACTTGTTACTAGTAGTAATGGCCTCCACCCTAGTAGCGATGGCCTCCAACCTAAGAGCCATGGCCTCCACCTAGTAGCGTCCTCTCTCTTAGAAGCCACTTTTTGTGGGTGCAAACTGGAGCGTTGCACGCTTTTGCAAATCGACTTCCAGCTCTCCCCAGGCACCGTAAATTGGGTCCGAACTCTATCTATCTATCTATCTATCTATCTATCTA